TTGTGGATTGCAGTAAAAAACATATAAAAGAATTATAATATATATATATAATATATATATATATATATATATATATATATATATATATATATATATATTCCTAATTTCCAATGCACGTATAAACGGAAAAGGAGCCTTCTATCTGGTCATGTGAGAGATGACTATGGTTTCATTAGATTCAACACTCCCCCCCCCGCAATAAACAAAAGCAATGAAACAGTCGAGCTGGACTGAAGATGGCAAATATTTCATTGTGTCACTCCGCCTGTTCTTCTACTGCGTTACCGGCCTGAATTCTTTATATTCAGTTCAGCACGGCTCACTGCTAAATGGCATCAACTGCTGTTAAATGTGTTGCTATCACATGTTTGCGGTAGGGAACAGGAAATCGGACATTCTCTAGTAACGTTAAAACTATTGAACTATGTACCAGCTTACTTCTGTATTGGCGAGACGTATACCACTTGTTAACAAGTGGTATACTCGCAATCATTTAAAGAAGATCTTGACATGTATTTTAAATAAAGTGTTTTATTATTGAAAATAATTTTTAAATCCCATTTAATATACATGCAACCATAAGCAAGACAAATATAATGTAAATGCCGTGAAGAATTACAGAATAATAAGGGAAACGGAGCGGTTTTCTAGTCAAAAATTTGTTGTTTGGTATTTTATTTTTCATAAATTATGCCATTTAATTGTTTTATTAATTTGGCGTTGGAATTATTTTGATATTTTCTTTTGTTATTTATATATGTTGAATCCTCTCGTTCATGGAGCTTAGTGCTGGTGCCAATACTTTTAGAAAATACTGTTAATAATGCAGGCGCTAAATACTGAAAGACCTTAGTCATCGCAGAAAGTAAAATTGGAAACTTTATGTTGTGAAGCTAATTCCAACATAAAAAAGCGTCAAAAGGATGTAGTTATTGCCCAACATGATTAGTCTTTATTGAAGGCAAGTAATTGTGCTGGCATATTCTGAGGGTTACTTCTTAAAAAAGTATTCATACCGTTGTTTCTTAAAAACCGTTATTTCAGTGTTATTGAGAGTGATATATCTGTAACCTGTAACATTTCATAAACCTGGCTTCAAAGATATTCTGAGAATTTGACTCAAAACATTTTGCTATCTGTTGCATATTGTGTGTCCGTTTGGCAGTGCAATCGCAGCTAATAAGCAAAGAGATCAGAAAGGCATTGTTTTTTGTATATAAACTAAACTACCAGCGTAACAACAACAACAACAACAACAACACACACACGCACGCAACACATACGTGTATACTTTGTTACCACGTGATCATTTCTGTAAAAAACATTCACCAGCTCATAACTCAAACTCCCAACTGCTGTAAACTCTGGAGTTCGTATGTTGTTGCTTTTTGCAAACAGTTGCATTACAGTTCTGCAGTCCGACGAACGTCGGTACAATCATGGCCACGCGTGATACAGAACTATCTAAATATTCAATCCGCAATTCTGTCAGTCATAAATTGCATATTCCTTCTTGTATATATACGTGTCTTTTTCTTCGGCAACTCTTAACAATATTCACGGCGGCTTCGACTTATAATTAGACACAACCTGTGGGACGTCGTTTGAAGAGAATCGTTAAGGAACATGCGCCAATGCAGCATTTCTTACCAAGTGGCCTATAAGATATATCGTTTCATCTAACTGGAAAAAAAAATCTGCGTTGGTGTTTTTTTGCGGCACCCGAAATGACTCATCGCGTGTACTCACAGAATTTATTTTTTATAATACAAGCTCCTTCCTGGATGTCCTGATATATATCTAACC